CGCGCGTCAGAATTTTTACATCGGACCTCTCCACGGGAAAACACTAACGTGGACCATCGCAGACGCGAGAGTCGCGTCCGCGGCCGAAAAGTTTTATGGGAGTTGTTAGATGTTTGTTCCTCTGCCTTCGGAGGCACGTACAGATTTAGTAATACAAAAGTTTTTCGATCATTGGGTCAATGAACATGGTCTGCCGTTGTCTATAGTTAGTGACAGAGATACCAGGTTCACTAGTCAGAACTGGCAGGAGTTGATGAGAGTCTACGGCTCTCGATTGCTGATGTCGTCTGGCCGTCATCCAAAGACTAACGGACAGACTAAGCAGATGAACAAAGTCCTGCAGCAGGTTCTAAGAATGTACATTAGACCCGACCAAATTAACTGGGATGAGATGCTCCCAAAGGTAGCCAGTGCCTATAATAACAGTGTGCACTTAGCCACTTGTCGCACTCCCAACGAATTGCACAAGTCCTTTAGACCTCGTAGACCGTTTGAAGGACTCAACCGGAATCAGATTCAGAGGGTACCGCCCAGAACTAGGGAGTTCGTGATACAGCATGAGAAAGAGATTGCTATCTTAATATACAACCTCAGGAAGGCCCAGCATAGAATGATAGAGCAAGCTAATAAGCACCGTCTCCCATCAGGGTTTCGAGTAGGCGACTTAGTCTGGGTCAAGTCTAAAGAGTTTGCTCCTGAGGAGAACATCTCGCAGAAACTGTTACCTGTGTATAGAGGACCGTGGCCAGTCTTAGAAGTCAAGGGCGGAGAGGACGGACCTTCCTACACAGTCGAGATTCCAGCACACCTCCACACCTACCCAGTTTTCCATGCGTCGAAGTTGTTGCCTTATACCAGAAGTCAACAGTTTCCATCATGGAGACCTGTGATCCCTCCGGATATGAATGGAAGGTATGACATTGACAGCATTGTAGGTGAAAATGAGTTCAAAACAGGAGGTAGAGGTCGTCCACAGAAACAGTACAAGATTCGATTTGCCTATCAAGAGCGGGAAGACGACCGCTGGTTTACACAAATAGAGCTTCTAGAGACCGCTCCCGATATAGTCCGAGCCTACGAGAGAGATAGAAAAGGAAAAGGCCCTGCCTTGAACTGAAGCATTCTCCGAGGACCTCAAATTTAGGCCGGCGGGAGTGAAAGGGTTTTTCACCTTTGCGGTAACAGATGCAGATCCCAGGGCTCGATCCCAAGACCTCACCTTACCCGTGTACAGTATCAAGTTGTCCCCTGTGTGTGTTTGAACCCATGATCTGTGTTTTGGTAGTTGACTGTTGCTTGTCCTAGGGCTGTGTATCAGTAGGGGTTCGACCTGTAGATCTGTCGACTAGGGGGTCATAGTTGTGTAGAGTCCGTAGCTGTAGTGAAAGGTCAAGGTCGTAGCTGCTACAGGCCTGAAAGGTCAAGGTCGTTGCTGCTACAGTCCTGAAACTATGGCGAGTGGCCACCCCTACAGACCAGACAGGACCGGTTCGGGTGTGGGCTATGGAAGCACCGCATCCAATTTCGCAGTCACAGTTACAGTCACAGTTGCTGCATCGAATGGCACGGCACAGACAGATGTCACAGGCTACGTGGCTCGTACATGCTAGGAACACAGAGGCACGTCGACCGCAATTATAAAGGCATTGTCGTTCCAGCCCGTCTAAAAATTGGACATGACATGTCGGGGTGCCGTACATGAGTACAATACTGACTGTCATCGTACGTATGGAAGCAAAAACTCGCATGGACTATACCTTCATAATCCTCACGGCACAAGACATGTGAACCACATGCTAGTTGAATCTCCGACGGGTCATCACAAAACAGCATGGAGCATCTTTCATGGGCTTCCTCAGTATGTATTCCTTCTCTATGGGCAGAAGACGACAGGGAGGATCGGTACAACGCAAGGGCATTCAGCTGCTGCAGGATATGATCCGCAACAGCTCACCCTGGTGGTGATAAACTATTGAGCACATCGCTCTACCGGTGGTTCATATAGAAGTCTATTTTCCTCCTCGGACTGCTGTGTTCGTCGTTCGTCTGGCAAGAAAGAGGGAGATCCGTCAGCGGTTGCCATAGGTGTATGACCAATACCGCATGTGGGACATGCAAGGAGAGGATGTGGAGAGTGATGGCACCGGGGATAGTCCATGCAATAAAGACACATACTTTCTATAACAGCTTCCTGGAAGCATTGATGACACAAGGCATGTTGCTGACATGTCATTAGTATGGAAGGCTGACGTGCACAGTTATTTAAGCATGGCAGATCAAGGCCACAATGGCATGCTGGGCAAGTAATCACGGGGTGGGGGGGATTAGCACAGGACTGGGGATCACAATATTCGTGTGAGAGGCTAGCAGCAACCATCCCTTCATAGTGTTAGGAGCACAGGCTCTGTCGTGTACATGCCAACCGATTCAGTGTGTGTGTGTACAGTACAAAGTGAGTGTTACATGCTGTATAGGCCCCAACCTATTTCCCTACAGGGAAACTTCCAGGCTCTTGCCTGGAAGCTTCCTTCTGACAGGGCCTACAGGCCCCAGCCTGTTTCCCTACAGGGAAACTTCCAGGCTCTTGCCTGGAAGCTTCCTTCNTTTCCCTACAGGGAAACTTCCAGGCTCTTGCCTGGAAGCTTCCTTCTGACAGGGCCTACAGGCCCCAGCCTGTTTCCCTACAGGGAAACTTCCAGGCTCTTGCCTGGAAGCTTCCGCAGGGTCTAGGCCAGGGAGGCATTGGCAAGAGCGGCCTCCTGCGCATAGGGCATTGGCGCGACCAGCCTCCTGCACGGGCCAGCACTATAAAGGACTGGCCCGCCCTACAGGAGRRARGGCAGTCGRCAGTTGTAGTCTTCAKGATTCGGGAGCAGCCCTCTGGAGGGAGCGCTGCGTTATAGTAGTGGTAGTGTTAGCTAGTAGCCTTCGGCGCTGGGCGCCATAGCTAGGATAGTGGTAGAGAGAGAGAGAGAGCTTGGGTGGAGGCCAGGGGTACCTACCTGCAGCGCCGTTGCTCCAGCTTCGTCTTCAAGGTACCTGCAGCAAAGCGCCACATCACAGGTTAGTACCTGGTTCGTAACAGTGAGAGAGAGAGAGTCCTCCTTCCTCTTCTTCTCAGTCCACCATCTCCTTCTCTCCCTCTCAACCCTTGACTTCACTGCATTTGCAGACTGCGAGAGAAGAGATACCGAGCTTGGTGATATCGGATCCAAGACTCGACTTTTTGGGATTCAGACCTGACAAYRAGGGGTTATTTGGGATCGGTGACAAAGACTTGGTGTTAACGACACTCCCATCTTCCTCCCTCCTTTCGTCTGATCCTTACCTCTTCGTCTATGCATGTCTGGACCTGGCGCTTTCTTCCTGTGTGCAGCGCCAGGYTCCTTCACACCTGGTGAGGGGTACGATGCATGTTTGGTCTGAGTTCAACCATCGGTTGGACTAGYTATCAACATTCTAGCAGTCTGTTTYGCTACTTGCTACTACGTGTGTAAGGTCAGTCCTTGTCAGGTCAGTCTTTGTATCTAAGTCTTCCCTGMGCTATTCAGCACTTTTGTATGTATGAGAATGCACATTGTCTGTCGAGATTCTACTCTCACCGCATTGTCCATTTCAGTCCTTTTCGTCACATTGCAGTTCCTTGGTTATTCCAAACATCACATATCTGTGCATGTAACAGTGAGTGTGCGTGGCATATCCAGGGAGATCCAGTGAGAAGCACATGTGAACAGTTGAGGTGAAAGCGCTCAGGGGCCATAGTTGGATTGAAGTAAGTGTGTATCTGAACTGTGTCTTCGACTTGAATATCTCTCAGCTTTGTGTGGGCGCCCAGCACCAGAGTGGAATGTCATCTGTTTGCATGCATCCGAAGTGAGAAGAAAGCAAGTCTGATTGCAAAGCCCGTAGGGGTTGCTACCCATCCTCCCAAGAGCTCACCCTGCTACATTTTCGCAGGCAAATGATGACACTTCACTCCTCTAAAATCATTCAGACCCAGAAACAACTGCATCTACTCTGCCCAGATACATCCAGTGCCAGACATCAGTAGATGGGAGGACCTACGGGTTCCAGTCCTTTTTTCCGGGAGGGGGAACACTCCATATTCTTCTCTCGATTTTTACCTCGCACTAGCCTATCAGCAGCCGGGTATCCCAGGGTTTCTCTGTATCTTTTTGTCACCGACCTCCAACTGTGCCTAAGCACCGCAGGAACATCTCACTGCACCAGGACCGGACCTAACCTGGCAAGGGCTGGAAGGGACGAAGGGATAGCCCTACCAAACCAACCAAGGGGGGCAAGCGGACTATCTCAGCTGGTGAACCCTCAGCATGCAGCAGAAGTACGGATTCCACTCCTATTGCAGACTTGCTGTGAAATCCCTACTGGGCTTCTGAACTTAACCTGGACATCCCGTACATCCAAGTTTACGAGTTTCATTGTCCAAAACTTGCTCTTCTATCCACCAGACCAGACTACTGTCTTAACCCGCAGTAGTCAGGGACAGCCCTCTCTGGGACTGACATCAGAACAAATCTATCACAGGGTGAAAACCACACACATCAAGACATGGAAAACTTTGCACAATTGCGGGCAAGGGGAGATGATCTAGCACAGCAGGACTTTTCGTGGCGAAAGTTTGGAAGTAGAAAGATCTTTGAGAGTATCAGAAACATGGAGGCATGGGAGCAAAAACCCTTAGTGAAAAAGCAAATAACTGAAGGAACATTCCCCGAGCAAACAGCTGCACTAAGAGTAACGGTGCAAACCAATCATGCAGCCAAGCGGTTCAGCAGAGACTGGGGCTCATCACGGCCATACCTGTTGCATGAGTTTTGGTGAAGGACCTCATTTTACTGTCAAGATGGCTGCTGATGCCTGTGTCAGAAATCTTGGCCTCGAGTTGATGTCTACCACAAACTTTGACTAGAATGTTATGTGGCTTCAAATTGCGATGTACTATGCCTCTCGAGTGCAAGTGTGCCACTCCTGCAACCATATCCCTTGTAACAACAACACAAAGCAAAATGACATCCAAGAAACTGCCAAATGAGCGCCCTTACTTATGGACGCAGATGACGAGATAGAAAGTGAGACAACCACAGGATAAAAAGCCAGGCGTCTTCCGATACTCCCCTCCCCCCTCCCCCCGCCCCCCTCCCCAGTTCCCATTCCCTACGCACACAGACACACACACACACACACACACACACACACACACACACACACACACACACACACACACCTCCTGTAATAAATACAGATAATCAGAACCAGAGCCGCCACAATTGCAGGACATTCACCAACGACGTAACTTGTGTCATGAGTTCAAATGAAACCAACACGCTGCCAGGGAGAAGGATCTGAAAAGCTCTGGACGAGGAGAGAGCGGAGGCAGGGACTGAACAGGAATGCAAGGAGAGGGCGTAAGGCTTGGGTCCAAGAGAATAAAGCTGAAGGGAATAAGGCAAAGACAGGCCCGATCGCCAAAAAGAGCATGATAAATGGATTATAGTCAGAGACAAAAACAAACATTGTGAGTGCATGATATGAGCAAATTAGGTGTTCATCTCCTCGGCTCAGAGCATTCACAGAACCCACGAGTAGCTCTGTGATCAAAACAATGCCTAAAGGACGGACCTAAAACTTCTACAAGGACTTCCCTGGACGTATCTGAACACAAATAACTACAGATTCATCACAGAAAGTCCTACTGTGCATATGCCCTGAGACTGCAAGAGAGGAAAGAGGGGAGTAGAATGTTCAAGGGAAAGGAGGCTGAACCTACCAACCTCATCAATTTGGTCAAAACAGGCGTTGGTCGACCATGGCTGTCCCAAAGTGGAACAATCACCTCCTCACTGCCAGAACTTGCAACAAACTTCAGGCAAGGTTTGGACACCCCTTCCACTTCCCTGACAATCTCGACCGCCGGAAGACTGGAGGCAGACGATTCATATGAGAAGTCGCTGCTTCGACTGCTTGCTGTGCTGCCGCTGCTAGTCCGCGAATGACTCCGGCTGCTAGTCTGTGAATGACTGCCGCCGCTGCTGTTGCCACTCTGCTGGCCACTGGATGATCGCGATCCCGTCCCCAGAATCATCTGACGGATATTGAAGTCGCATTCCTCCAGGCCGACGTACATGAAGTGCTGATCCTCCTCCAGTGCATAGCATCTTACCACATTTGGGTGCTCAAGGTCGCCGGACTGGATGAGGTTGTGAATCTTGTCACGTGCCTTCCTGTAGAACTCGATCACCAACCGTTTTACCTGACCCACAAAGACAATGTCAGTATACCTTTTTTCTTTTTTTTCTTTTTTTTCTTTTTTTTCTTTTATCAAATTTCTTCTTTTTTTTTTCTTTTCTTTTAATACAGTCTGTTTTTTCCTCATATGGGGAACAGCTGTATTTTTACTACCCTATTTTCTTATCTCAACTTTTCGTACTTCCCTGGGGGATGGTAGGTTGTTTGCTGATACATGTGTAAACACTGTAAAGTAGGGTATCTACCGGTAGTGCGAGGAACGTCACTATATCTTTTTTCCTTTTTTTCAAGTCATGATATCTTCCAGGTTGAGGCTCCTGTTCACGGCCCTTCCTTTCCATATTCAAATTTTCAATCACCAACAGTTTCACCTGACCTTCCAGTAGACTGCAGGAAACATCCACAACCTGAGGAACAGAAGACGCGTACAAACCCAGTGTTCCAGTAAGGAGGTTTCACCCAGGCCCAGGAAATGCGACAGTGATATTGACACCAACCATAGGGTTCATGAAATCAGACTGCACTACAAAATTGCTTTCAGCATGCATACACACGAACTGATGGCAAAACCAAACTCTTCAACTCAGAATCAACAACAAACTTTCACTTAAACTCTGTTCAAGTCAACTGTACAACTTGCGGCTATGGAAGCTGAACACTGTCTCCACCACCAGCCTCACTCTCCTTCATGCACGCATGTAAGAGGATCTACCCTGAATGTCCACGCTACACATACACACACTCTGTCACTGTCTGTGCCAGCAGCTTGGCGGCTATGGCCGCCGTCAACTTCCTCCTCCTAGCTATGGCCACCGTCGTCTTCCTCACTACCCCCTTCAGCTCCGGGCACCTGCAGACCTCCATGCACAAGTCACCAAGGCAGCGCTTCCGCATGGGTCACAGGCGAATGAATCAATGGCTGGTCGCTGCCATTTTATTTATACTCCTCCGCAGGTGGCCTGGCCCTCCCTTGAAACGTGTGGGCCTGGGCCCCAAACCGCGTGGGCCTGGGCCTGGAAGCCTCCAGAACACGTTGGCATGCTGGGCCAAAACGTGTGGAACCTGTGGGAAACCGTGTGGGACACTCACCACTTGCTTGGCACTTGCTGACTGGACGCGGCTGAGACACACCTATGACATTCTGGAACCTACAGACTTGGCCTTTCACTACAGCTAAGGCTACGGGCTGACTGACCCTTGGACCCACGTAGAGACAGGTAGAGAGTTCCAGAGGGCCTAAACAAAACCCAACGGTAAAGTACTAGCCTACTAATACGAAGATCTACGGATCAAATCCAACTGACTAACTTACTGCCTAACCTACGACTCAGTCCAGGTCACGGGTTCAAATCTCACTCAGAACACAGGGTCTTTGTACAGGGTTTAGGCTTAGGTCTAGGGATCGAATCTCACTCAGCACACAGTGGTCAATGTACAAGGTTCAGGCACAGGTCGAGGGATTGAGTCTCACTGTCTGCAAATGTCTACTGTCTGCAAATGTCGGGTCAACTGGGTGAAACCGTTTCACTCCCACCGTCCTAAATTCAAGGTCCTCCGAGAACACTCTTAACTCAAGGTAGGACCTTTACCCTTTCTTTCTCTTTCATAGGTGTGTACTATGTCGGGAGCGGTTTCTAACAGCTCTGTTCTAGTAAACCATGTGTCGTCCTCTGGTTCCTGATATGCGAACCTGACTTCGTATTGCTTCTGGGGACGACCTCACCCTCCGGTTCTGAACACGTCCTCTTCCACTATGTGATCTATATCGTAGGCACCATCCATATCTGGCGGAATCACTGACCTTCGAGAAGGAAATCTGTCACTGATGGTGCAGGGCAGTAGCTTTGACGCATGGAAGACTGGGTATGTGTGGAGATGCGCTGGAATCTCTTTAGTGTATGATGGTCCGCCCTCTCCTCCTTTGAATTCTAGGACAGGCCATGGTCCTCTGTATGCAGGTAAGAGCTTTTCGAGATGTTCTCCTCGGGTGTGATCTCTTTAGATTTGACCCAGACTAAGTCTCCTACCTGAAACTGTGAAGGTCGGTGGTGCTTGTTAGCTTGCTCAATCATACGATGCTGGGCCTTCCTCAGGTTCTCAATCACCTTAGCGACTTCTTGCTCATGCTGCAATGCAAATTCTCGGGTGTCGGGCGGTAGTCTCTGTATCTGATCCCGGTTTAGTCCTTCAAACGGTCTCCTTGGTCTAAAGGACTTATGCAGCTCGTTAGGGGTCCTACAGGTAGCTAGATGAACACTCGTTATAGCTGCTTGCTACCTTGGGAGATCTTATTCATCTGATCTGTCTGGCCATTCGTCCCTGGGTGTCGTCCTGATGACATCAACAACTTAGACCCATAGACTTTCATAAGGTCCTGCCCTACGTAGCACCGTGTTCAAGTTCGGAGGCGAACGCGAACATGTTCGCCCGAAAGCGAACAAGCGCCCAAAACCCTCCGAACGCGAACATGCAATCAGACTCGTTCTCAAACACACTCTTCATGCATGTAAACAGCAACGCATCATACTGGCGACATGCGCCCAAAGAAAACTCAGAGATATGGCTTCAAGATACGAGTTCACTCTCAATTAGCTATGGCGACTTCAGCGCCCACACAACTCACTGTCTACACACACTGGATCACCCTGGATATCCCACACGCATCA